ATATATTTCAGTGTTAAATCCTGTTTAAAGTAACAGATTAGAATTTAAAATGTCTCTGGAACTTTACAGGTTGATGATTGTCTTTATTCAGACCCCGCTGATTTTTAATTGGTTACCCCTGATGTAGCTTATTTATATAGTAATATAAACTGTTGTTTTTAAACAAAAATTTTCTAAACAGGTAAAAATGTATTTTTCATATGTGGTAAAAACACAGTTTTTTTTAAGTTTTAGGAACCTCTTGCTAAAAGGAATTTTTAAAAATAACATACATTGTGGAGGTAGGGAGGTGTCTGTGACAGACAACAGTCTAATTTTTAACAAGATTTTTTGAAATCTTAGAGAGTGAACAGACGATTAAGGATCAGGGGTTAAGTGTGCTTTGTGCCAATCTTCAAAATCAAGGAAGATGTTTAGAAGTCTGGAAACTTAAGAGGAATAAAGTTGATGAGTCATACAATCGTTATCGGGAAGAGTAGGGGAAGGAGGACCAAGGACAGAAGTCAACATCTGGAAAACGCAGTATGGTTTCATGCCAAGAAAAAGAACTACTGTACAGATGCAGTATTTGATATGAGGATTTTGATAGAGATGTACAAAGGTGCATAGTGTTTTTATTACACCTACAGAAAGGATCGGACCGGATGCTGAGAGAGGAGCTGTTGTGCTCTTTTAGCAAGTCGGGAATAGCAGGGATAAGGGGTCGACTCTCCTCTTGTTAGCTGTGGTGATTGACAGATTGACAGATGGAATTAAAAAGGAATCGCTGTTTACTAAGGTGTTTATAGATGATGAAAAATGTATTCTGATTAATCATGATTAATCTAAAACTAAATTAGTAATTGATTAATCATTAACTTGAATTAAGAGAGCAATACATGTCTTTAGATGACAGAGAAACTCCTCTTGAGCAGCAGTTATACCAAAGAGTATATATAAATATATATGTAAACATTTTGCATTTAAGATAAAAATCTTTTTCTTCTGTCAATATGCTCTATGCAGAACTTCTCAAGTAGAAAAGTTAAATTTCCCCTGTTTTAATTTTGCAAAAAGTCTTCTTTAAGGAACTTTGGCTATCTGATTATTAATCAATTAATCAACAGATTAGCAAAACATTTGTTAGCTGCAGCCCTAAATGTTAATATGATCTGCAATGAGAGCAGGGAACAGGTGGAGCAAAATCTACAGAGTTGGAGATTTCCAGGGAAAGAAAAGGAATGAAGGTTAGTTTTAGCAAAACAGATTACCCACGTGTGAATGAGAAGGACTAAAGTGGAGGCCTGACGTTACAGGGAGCAGAAATGAAGGTTGAGATTGTTATGTATTCAGGGTGAACAGTACAAAGCAACAGCGAGTGAGGAAAAGAGTTAAAACGTCCAAGCAGGTTGTAATGGTTGGCAAAAGTATCAGGTGTTTTATGTCAGAATATAATCAATAAGACTGAAAGGAAATGTTGTATTGTACTGTACAATGTTGTATTGTTTAGAGACGATGGCACTGAGCAAGAGACAGCAGGAAGCAGATATGAAGAAGTTAAGGTTCTTCTTCAAGAACAATGTGGATGGATAGGATAAGAAATTAGTACATCAGAGGCTCATGTTAGACGCTGTGGAGATAAACCAAGTGAGGCCAGATTAAGATGATTTGGACGAGTAAAGAGGAGGGATAGAGAACTGCAGGGTTTGTACGGCGTAAAAAGGATGTTAAGGCTACACTGCCAGTCAGAAGGCCGAGAGGAAGAGCACAGATGAGATTTATGGATGCATTTAAAGAGAAAATTAGTGTACTTGATGTGACAGGAAATATGAATGAATGAATGAATGAAT